CTGGCTGGACCTGCTGGGGGAGGGGGGGCCGAGCTCAGAGGGGCTGGCGCCTGGCGGGGAGCTGGAAATCCCCGGGAAGCAGGAAGGGCAGGAGGAGGTGGATGGGGAGGTGGAGAGGAAGATGGCAGCCGGAGCCAGAGGCGGGAGGGAGGGGGCTTGACCCGGACACGTACCATGGGCACATGGCCTCACTCCCCCCCGGACGCGGGGGCCGGAGCAGGGCCAGAAGACAGGAAGTGGACACGGCAAAGGAGCTAAGGACAGCAGAGAGGAAAGCGGGGGCCAGGCGCAGGGGGAGAGAGAGAAGACACGGTCAGAGACGGCCCAGAGGCTGAGGGTGACAGGGGGCAGACAGAGCCCAAGGCCCCACCCTGGCCCTCCTTCCCTCCACCCCCAGTCCGGCCTGGACCCCGCCAATGCCCTGGACTCTCAGAGGCCCGGCGACCTGGAGAGCAGTGGGTAGGAGGCCTGAGAGAAACACCGGTTTCCGCAGGGACTGGAAGACAGCCGTCCCCCTCCAGGGAGGCCCTCCCTCCACCCCCTGCCCCCTGCACCAGCCCACCGCAGGCTGAGAGCCTAAGCTGGAACCCCTTAGAGGGGACAGCCTCCGTGACTCCCCTGATCCCGGGCTGCCCACCACAGCCCCGCCCGAGCTGGCGGCTCAGCAGACACCAGGCCTCCAGGGACATACCCATCGGTCTCTACCAGGTCCTCCTCGGTGCGCAGGCTCAGCACGTACAGCGTGGACATGGACACCACGCTGGGGACCACGGGGAAGGGCCATGGTTAGAGCTGAGCCACTGTCTGGGGCCCTCTCTCTGGGCAGGGCCTGGGCTCCCAGGGGATGCCTGTACCGGGTCTCCCAGCCCCAGGGGGACGGGACAGAATGAGGCAGCCCACCCCCTTCCCCAGGACCTCAGGGACTCTCCCAGGCCCTGCCTTCCTCTTCCCCAGGCCTGGGCCCGTGGGCAGCCCAGCTCCCCCCGCCCGCAGCCTGCGGTACAAGTCACCTGAAGGCCATGACCACCACCAGGGCGATGATGGTCCCCTGCAGGAAGCGCGGGCTGACGCAGGCCTGCTCCGGGACCACCGACGGCGGCTGAGGAAAAGGGAAGCAGAGAGGCCCAGACTTAGGGAGCCCATGGCTTACCCCCTGGGGTGCTGCTGGAGGTAGGGGTGCCAGGAGGGCTCATTCCCATGGGGCAGAGGCAGATGAAGGGAAAGCGGGGCTGGGCGGCCAGCGGGTCCCTGAGCCTGGAGAGCGGCCGGCAGGAAAGGGAGCCGTGGGGAGCGGAGGCCCCGGTCAACCCGCCCACCTTACCTTGCTGGCCACCTTGGGGGGCCTCTTCTTGTGGGGGACGCTGCCTGCCCGGCTGAACTGGCTCCCTGTGTGGCTGCAGCAAGAGGGCC